GTCCTTCCTCCTACACTATTCCATTAGCCACGTGTTCGTCTGACCTATCTTTCTATTCCCATATTCCATAGTAAAACTTGGTAGTCTTCCTTCTTAATTTACTACCTAACTCTCTAAATTTCTGCTGCTGGACCTCATTTTGTTTTAACCCATGTCGTTGGAGCTGACATGTACCACGATTACTGGTTTTCACCCTTCCTCTTCAAAATGCCCTACAGCCGCTCTGAGATATCCCTGATCCTGACACCAGGGAGGCAATGTTCTTTTCGAGAACCTTGTTTGTTGTAGCTTCAACAGCCTTTTGAAAATAAACCTCCGTAAACTCTCCTCCATACCCATCATTAAAATATCTCATCATCACACATTTACTCATTCATGCTCCATCATATGTGCATCATATATATCATATGAGGTACACAGGCAAAATATTTTAGGATGGGAATTTCAGAGTTTGGGATCTGTGGACAGTTGATGGCACCGCCACCGATGATTGAGAGAAATGAACATTGAGTAAGTATAAAAGGCCAGAATAGGAAGAGCACAGAAAAACACACACAAAACTCTTCACATTCTCCGTGTGTCCTCACAAGTCATCTAAGTTTCCAAATCTTTATTAATTGGTAAAGCTCTTGCAGAAGATAAAAGAACATAAAAGTAATGAATAATACTTTCAGTGTTGTCAAAATTAAAATGAAATCAGAGCAACTGTGAGCTTTTAATATGATTAGTTAAATGCACATATCTCTCTAAGTTTCTTTCATTGGTGTAATGATTATCTGTGCTCCTAAAGCACTGCAATGGTTATTATTTCTGCAGCTTTGATTTTGAACTTACATCATTTCACTATTGGTGTGCCATTCTGCGCCAGATATATTATTGACACAGTTTACCAGATTGGGCTTCGCAGTGACTCCCTTGTCCGCTCCACACTCCCCTCCAGCCCCACCACACCCGGCACTTTTCCCTGCAATCACAGGAAGTGCTACACCTGCCCCTACACCTCCCCCATCACCCTCATCCCAGGCCCTAAGAAGACCTTCAACATCAAACAGATGTTCAGCTGCACATCTGCTAATGTGGTATACGGTATCCGCTGTTCCCGTTGTGGCCTCCTCTACATTGGGGAAACCAAGCGAAGGCTTGGGGACCGCTTTGTGGAACACCTACGCTCGGTTTGCAATAGACAACTGCACCTCCCAGTCGCGAACCATTTCAACTCCCCCTCCCACTCCTCAGACGACATGTCCATCCTGGGCCTCCTACAGTGCCACAATGATGCTACCCAAAGGTTGCAGGAACAGCAACTCATATTCCGCTTGGGAACCCTGCAGCCCAATGGTATCAATGTGGACTTCACAAGCTTCAAAATCTCCCCTCCCCCAACCGCATCCCAAAACCAGCCCAACTCGGACCCGCCTCCCTAACCTGTCCTCCCATCTATCCACTCCTCCCACCTCAAGCCCCACCCCCATCTCCTACCTACCAGCCTCATCCCACCTCCTTGACCTGTCCTTCCTCCCTGGGCCAACCTATCTCCTCCCTAATTCCCCACCTACACTCACCTTTACTGGCTCCAACCCCGCCTCCTTGACCTGTCTGTCTCCTCTCCACCTATCTTCTCCTTTATCCATCTTCTATCCGCCTCCCCCTTTCTCCCTATTTATTTCAGAATCCCCTTCCCCTCCCCCATTTCTGAAGAAGGGTCTAGGCCCAAAACGTCAGCCTTCCTGCTCCTCTGATGCTGCTTGGCCTGCTGTGTTCATCCAGATTGGGCAGCAGGTTATGCTTGACAAGATTAAAATGTTGTGGATGCTGAAAGGTCATTGATCTAAAATGTTTGCTTTATTTCTCTCTTTCCTGGATGCTGTTAGAGACTGAACCTGTTGAGTGTTTATTTCAAGACATTGGCTTAGTATATCAGAGCAGACATTAGGTGGCAGCAGATGGGTAATTGATGGGTTCAGTCTTAAATGGTAGGAGTTTGTGCATTCTGAGTTGGCACTAGGTGGCAGTAGAAGTGTGAAGCAGATCAGAGCAAATGTCAGAATGGGTACATGGAGCAGAATTTTGTTTTCTTTGAGGTTAAGTGTGTGTGCAAGTATTAAAGTGGGAGGAACATCCATCTGAGAGCAGGGCAGTTTACCCCACGTGATTATCTTCTTCTTACATGTGAATACACATTCATACATGGGTAATATACTACATTTTATGGGAGGCCAGATCTGAAGTGATAAGATGAGAAGACATAAGGGCAGAAGTAGGCCATTCAACCCATCAAGTCTGCTCCACCATTCAATGAGCTCATGGCTGATCTGATTATCCACATCTCCACTTTCCTGTAATTTACCCCATCACCTTGATTCCTTTACTGATTTAAAATCTGCCTTGAATACACTTAACCCAACCTCTACAGTTGTCTGCAGTAAAGAATTCCACTGAATCATTAGCCTCTGAGAGAAGAAATTCCTTCTCATCTCTGACCTAACTGGGCAACCCCTAACTCTAAGATTATGCTGTCTCGTCCTTGACTGTCCCACAAGAGGAAACAACCTCTCAGCATTTACCCTGTCAGCACTTATAATCTTAAATGTTTCAGTAAGATCTCCTTTCATTCTTCTAAATTCCAATGAGTTCAAACCAAACTATTCAGTCTCTTCCCATAAGAAAATACCTCTATACCCCTTCAATGCCAGTATACCCTTCCTTAGATAAGGGAACCAAGGCTGTCCACAGTATTCTAGCTGCGGCCTCACTACTTCCCTAGTTTTATACTCCATTCCCTTTGAAATAAAGGCCAATATTTCATTTGCCTGCTCTATTTTCCGCTGAACTTGTATGATAGATATTTGTGATTTAGGCTTGAGCATCCCCAAATCCTTCTGTACTGTAACTTTCTGCTGTCTTCTCTCAATTCAGTAGTCTTAAGCTTTTCTATTCTGCCTATCAAAGTGTACAACCTCACATTATATTTCATCTGCCAAGTTTTTGCCAACTCACTTAACCTATGTCTACTCTGTAGACTCTTTGCCTCATCCTTACCACTTTCCTTCCCACCCACCTGTTACGCCCAAACTTGGCGACAGTATATTCATTTTCTTCATGCAAGTCATTAATATTATATATAGTAAATAATTGTGGCCAAAGCACTGATTCGTGTTGCACTCTACTGGTTACATGTTGTCATAATGAATATACAACCCCACCCCAACTATTCCAACTCTCTGGTTTCTAATTGCTAGCCAATCTTTTAACCATGCTAATGCTATGCCCAATACCATGAACTCGTATCTGATGAAGTAACCTTAAATGTGGTACATTATGTGGAAATCCAAATATATCTTCTGATTCCCCTGTACCTCCTCAGAGAAGCCTAATAAACCTGTCAAACATGATTTCTTCTTCATGAAGCTATGCTCTTTGATTTTACATATTTATTTTTAAATGCTGATCTCTTACATCTTTTAAAATATTACTTTGCCTAATGACAGACATTAAGCTAACTGGCTTATAGTGGCCTGGTTTTGTCTCCTTCCCTTTTTCCACAAAGGTGCTACAGGAAGGTTACGAACAGTGCATCCTCTATCTCTGTAGCTACTTATTGCAACCCATCAGGTCTAGGGGACCTATTGACCTTTAACCCCATTAATTTCCCTCACACTTTTTCCTCCAGTGATAAATTATTGTACTAATTTCCTCTCCCTCTTTGACCCCTTGCTTATTTGGTATTTTTGGAACATTATTAGTTACTTCTACCAGGAAGACTGATGAAAAGTGTTTATTCAACTCCTCCCTTTCCTGGTTTCTCATTATTATTACGCTAGCCTCATTCTTTAAGAACAATGCATAAATTTTGGTCTTTCTCTTCCATTTTATATACTAAAAGAAAATCTTGCTGACCATTATGATATTACTTGCCAGTTTACCCTCAAAGTTTACTTTCTCTCTTTTTATTTATTTTGGTCATCTTTTGTTGGTTTTTTAAAGCTTTCCTAATCCTCCGGTTTACCACTAATTTTTGCCACATTGTATCTTTTTCCTTTCGATTTGATGCTATCCTTAACATTTTTGGCTGCCTGTTATGGGTTTTGTCTTCTTCTTAGTATCTGGCAGCAACCGTGGACAGGAGTCATACTGGACTTGAAACATTAATTCTAGATTGTCTCCCCACAGATGCTGTCGGACCTGTTGAGTTTCTCGAGCAGTGTGCGTTTGTTTTGTATCATGGCCACAATGTCAATGCAATCACCCATAATAAGTTCACAACGGCAAGGGTTTACTCCTTTCCCCAAGTGAACAGTCATACTGGAGATGGATAGAGAGAGTGATTTTCTGACAGAATACACAGGGTCAACAATGGGATGGGTAATCTCGACAGTAGGAAGACCCGCGAGACTAGCTCCCAACAGGTACATTGGATAAGGAGGTCAAGGAAAGTGGGATGGAAGTTAGTGGTAAAGAGCAGGAAGTTTGAGGGTTGGGTTAGGGATTGGGACGGCAGACTACCCAAGAATCAAGAAGTGTTTGTGGCATAAAAAACAGACACTTGGAAGGGTAAAGAAGTGAACATAAAGAGCAAAAGTAGGAATAGATTGATGGGTTTGAGACGCAGAGGGGTGAGAGAAGACTCATCTGGATTAGTTGGGACAAATGACCTGTTTCTGTGCTGTAGACACAATACAACTCTGTAATGCTTTTAAAAATCTTGTACTGAAGCACTTCCAGTTAAGAATGGTGAAAGCAGCACAGATTGAGAATCAAAGCTGGGATTGTCAGGTCCTAGACACAAACTGAACCAAGCAACGAACTTAAAACTGAGCCAATGAACAGCAGAATTCACGTTAAATGAAGTACAGGCATCAAATTAGTGTGGTATAATGTTTTAGATACCAGCACATATACATAATAAAAATTAAGAACAGTGTTGATGTGGCTATAGTAATCTAACACAGCACTGATGTAAAAATGCTTTTTTATTCATTGTGAAAGTAATAGTCATTGGCTAAAAAAGAATACACAAGCCTGGATTAATTCAGTTTGATACCCTTACTTTAACAAAGCACATCCAGCAATCTAACTCTAATAACAAAGCTCTTTTGTTTGGTATCTCAAAATTATACGTTTAGGTTTCCTGCCTGACATATTGGTGGTAATCAATTTATTAATATTTGGTTACCATCAGCAATTTGATCAGAAAACTAGTGCCATTGTGTCAGTATCAGTTAGAATGCTGATGAACAGATGACCTGATTAAATGCACCACCTGCTGAGCTTTACAGGCCACAGTGCCCAAGGGTCATTCCACAGGATGTGGGCAGTGAACTGAACATAGTCAGTTTCAGTCTCTGGGGCTACGGTTATGAAAATCAGCCAGAACTCCTACTCCCAGTCACCACTCAGCAGATCACCTGCCTGAATGGCTGGCCTGAACAGAATTGGGATTGCCTACATTGCACCGACCATTGAAACCATTCATTAACGAGTCTCATTTGTCAAGGATGAAGTTATGGAGGAGAAAGGGCTGCTGGAGCCTCCGGAACTAAACCCTGCATAGGCCAGGACCATTAGGAAAGGTGAGGAAACTGGTTCATTGAAAACCTTGACCATTGCAGCCCTCAGTCTGAGACAAATGAATGGTCCTCATTCTGGAGATATCTTTGCAAATAGTTGTCATGGTGAATGGTTATGATTGAGCCACTGTGCAGCAGTATCTGTGAATATGTGTATGTGGATCTACAAGTACACAGAGATTGTGCGCTGTTATTAATTGTGCACATATGTATTCCTAATGTGTGTACACTAGAAATTAATTGCAACAGCCAACATCTTTGTTTACATTGTGGTGCTGACACCCAGTGGGCCATGCACCAGCTGCTCATTTTCCTCTATGAATCTCTGAACGAATGTTAACTAGTTTTGAGACACAGGGGATTTGCATGTTGAGGAACTGATCCAATCCCTCTCTAGTACCGGCATTTTCAGCAAGGGTCAGTATTTAGCAATTATGAATTAAAACCATGGCTAAGCATTCTTTCCCCTTTCTGTAAATAGAAGTCCTGGGTCCAACCGTACTGCTCCCTCTGTTATCCCCAGTGGAATCAGCTGACTCCACTGAGCCAAATATTGAGTCTGCAGTTCTCCTGTTCTGTGTAGGTCAGTCACTCACTGGTTAGGGCCTCAAGGGAAACACTGACTACACAAAATTAACACTGGAATTAAGCAAGAATTCAAAATTTTAACAATCACCACCTTGATATGGAAAAAAATAAAGACCACAATCTTCCTTGTAATACCTGTACCCCTGGATACCACCACCTCCACTTTCCCATATCCTCCACAAACTGGAATGAATGGTCCATGACATGGAAGCTGTTGACTGATGACCATGAGCCACCTTATTTTAAGATTACTTCTTGCCATCAACGAACCAGCACAGGTTCCACAGCATTCTCACACCTATCTTGAAATATAGATACACCAGCAGATGTACAGCATGCAGCCACTAGTGAATGCAATCCTTAGTATTGGTGGATTCCACCACTGATTATAACATAATATCATTGCAGAGAGAGACTGTTACAATCAATCACTGACCACATAACCAGAAATCACATATAAGCTTAAAGGTTATTGCTGTTCTGTAGTGGGTAGTGAATTAATATTTGATCATATTGCTCCATCCACTTTTAATGGGGGCACTAACTGACTTAAAATAATCAGTGGTCCAGTAAAATAAAAACATTATTTTACTTAGAATAATTATCAGGTGATAATTGAAAATAGAAGTGGGTGCTGCAGAGTGTGGAAACACCTTGCTGCACGGTGTGGAAACACCTTGCTGCACATCAGGTATTTCGGATGCAAGCTTCCTGCCAGGTTTTCATTTTACAGAATGTGCTCACTGTAAAAGTCTACAGCTTTGAGTTTTGTTTCATTTTAATGGTGCGAATGGTAACGTTTATGGAGACTGGTGCAAACGTCAGTGGCAAAGCAGGAAACATTATTTTACTTAGAATAATTATCAGGTGATAACTGAAAATAGAAGTGGCTGCTGCAGGGTGTGGAAACACCTTGTTGCACATCAGGTATTTCGGATGCAAGGTTCCTGCTGCTGATCACTGTGTGGGTCTTGCAACAAATGCAATTTCAACTCAGTTCGAAGTGGACATGGTCCTGCAGCACAAAATGTGAGATGGCAATCTTGGTACAGTGGAAAGTATGTTTCTGACATTGTGGAGGAGGCACACTGTTGGGGCAGAGTGAAGGGACCTTTTCTTGGCAGTGACACTGAGCCAGGATTTTCTCTAATGATTTCAGGACCCTGGTGTGACATTCGAATGGGGGATCAGAAGCTGACACTACGTGGGGAATAATCCCCGGCAGTGATTTTCCCCTAAATGATTAATTAATGACCCGGAAGCCAGGCCCACAGTAAATCAAGGGCGGCAGGTGGACTCTTGAAACTGGTAAACTAATAAGCACTGAAGAAGCAGGAGGTTGGCATTTCAGGTAAGAGAGAGGATGCCTTAAGGTGAAGGCACGCATTTTAAACATTGCAGTAAAAAAATGTCCTTAGTAACTGGAGAACTATTACAGAGTGGGAGCTCCTCCATCACAGAAGTCAGGCAAACAGGAAAGCCACATAGCATGCCTGCTGCCCACCCTGCTGTTTGGCAGGATGCTACCATGTTGATATCACCACCCATTCCTGCCTGAATTTCAGAAAAATGGAGCTGATAAACCAACATGCAGGCCAGTAACATAAATGTCTAGGCCCAATCCCTTCAGGGTGTAAAAATTAAATCCTGGAATGGAAAATGTTCTAGTCTCCAGCACTAGAATCCTTTGATAAGCATAAAGCTAATTCCCACACTTGTTTCATATTGAATTATATCTGTATTCTTATTGACAATAGCTCAGTTCCTTCAATTATAATTGCATCCCACTGGAGTTAACAACATTTCTTCTGTGGTTCTTGGGACAATGTCTACAAAATGGCAGTAGCTCCTTCGGGCACTGGTTTTCTTATCTGCAAGGCAGCAACTGCTTGAAAATGTGGTTAGTTGTTTGGTGCGACCAATCACTTGTGTAGATAAGCATCCAACCAGAGCTCCCCAGAGTCTTTCAAGGAACTGCAATAGAACACAAGTGGCAATTAAATTCCAAGTATTCTTTCTCATTGGGCTGCTAGTTAATAATGACCGTTTATCAAGAACTTCCTGTTCTGCCCATTTCAAGAATTAACACCTTTACCCAGAATGATCATAATGTGCCCTACACGGAGTAGTTGAAAAAAAACTGTTTGGATGTAGTTATGGGGAAGCTAAATAAGTATGAGAGCAAAGTAGTAGAGGCAAGATAAAATAAATACAGTGGGAGGACAGATTGGAATCAAATTGGCCTCTTCGTATGCTATTAATTATTCATAATTTCCAACCAACTCCTAGTGATGTGATGGTGTATTAGTGAGAGAGAGCCAACTCTAAGCTCCAACAGCTCATTACAGTGCACCACTGCCTGTGGTTTGACCTCTGGTCAGTACACTCCTGGTAGGGAACAGTCCCAAGCACATGGCAGAGAGCTGTCGCGAAACACGTCTGGAAAAACATCATTCCAATTTTATCCCTGTCTTCCCCTTTCCTATAGTGAAGGAAAAACACGTTTTGGAATATCGTTCCTTTGGACACGGACCTCTCTTGTACGTTGGCTGAGTCACCATTTTTCGGCTGATGTGAACAACAACAGCTTACTTGATTGCATGTAGCAGTTGTACGTAGCATCTTCCAACAAGATTAATAGCTAGTCCTTGGAGTCCAAACTGGTCCCAGTCTAGAAAACTAAGATTCTGGCTAAGATTAATTGAACCAGGACAATCTATATTCCTTTCCTTTAAATGTTACTTAACACACCAAGGGTTCACATTGAGACAAGCTGTTTCTAAGAAGTTGTTATCTCATTAGTCCCCAACAGTCTTTACCTCTCAAAAAATCCCAATGCCTTAGACAGGGTCAAATCTCTACTGAGTTAAAAATTTCTCCTTCTCCACAATGATCATGGACTGTCAGAGCTTTCTTTATTTTGTGATCAGACTGTACTATCACAAGAAAATCCCTTTAGCATCCCTATCCCTCTTGCACCGTCCCAATATGAAAATGTCTCTGAGGCAACTATCTGGACAATACAACAGAAATTGTTCCTCGACCAATAATCAATTCCTCATTCACCTGTAATGCTCAAATCTTTCTCGGTCTTAGCCTTTCTCATTTTTACTAAGGCCAGCTAACATAATCTTTCTCCTCACTGGGACAAGTTCAAGGTTCATGATGTTTTGTTCTAGTCTAATGCATTTTTTTTTTCGACCTTGGAGCTGTCAAACTCTTCATCACCCTCCCTTCTCAGTCGTAATTGTCCCCTGTATTAGTCCCAGACTCCTTCAAGGCTCACCTCTCTTGGTCTTCATCACTCAGGGACTTCAGAGACCACCTCCTAACCTCCCTCAGTTCTCACCTTCCGTGGTCCTCATTTTCTCCCGTTTTGCAATCTGATCATCACTTTAATGCCCATCTGGTTTAGCACATTTCACTTCAACTCTTTTCATCTCAGGTTACACCCTGGCCTATTAGATCTGACCTTTGCAAGAGAAACGCAGTGACAATTTCATTAATCTGACTAACACCGTTAAGGAGGTAAGCATTCTTTGACCAATTTACCATCGCTGCAAAAAGCAGAACAAGAGTTGTCATGATTAGGAAACCCAAGAGATTGACTTAAGTTTTAGAATATTATAGAAAGCCTGAAGTACAAGGGGTTGCACAATTTTTGGAATCCTGTGAAGGGTTAGTATTGGAAACAGGGCATCGAATCTTGGCTTCAATGATATACTGTGCAATAAAGGGTATTCTTACAGGTTAGGGTTGTTGTATTACTGTTAGCTCAATTCGGTTTTCTGTACTTACTGTACTATGTCTGCAAAGGCGGTGAATAAAGGCTTTGACTGGTACTCCAGGCCATGTTTAGCACAGAGTGACCTTACTAATGGTGCCACCTTGTGCAAGTTGTGCCTTGGCATTGTGGGAAACAGGCTGTAAACACAGAGAGACAGTTAAATAGGAGAGAGAAATTAGGACTGCTGGGGTAAAATTCAACCTCATTAGGATGAAAAAACAGTTGTTAGTGGATTGATTGTCAGTTTTTACACCCATCAAATTTTTATTTATCTTAAATTCACTGACCCATTTTGTTTTCCCATTGAGGACTCTAAACACACCTTGAAATTTATTTTATTTTCTGACTCTCACTAGCTTGAGTACCATCTTGGATGGATTGGTTTGTATATGATGTGGTCATTAGCACATCACTTCACTAAAGTCAGTTTATATTTCAACATGATAAGAATTACACAGCATATCAAGAACTATAGTGCATGCAGTCAATGCTGACACCCATTCCTCACAACACTCTTTGCATTGTACTATTTTAGGTAGACAGCTAATTGGCGATGCAGTGTCCACACCAACAGTTTGGGCTCAATTCCTGCACGAGCGGAGGTTACTATGAAGGAGTCTCCTTCTCAACCTCTCCCCTCGCCTGGGGTGTGGTGACCCTCAATTTTGGCTACAACCAATTGTCTCTAATGAGAGAGCAGCCATATGGTCTGGTAATATTATGGTGACTCCACGTATATAGATGCAAGCCCTTCTTTATCTTTTAAAGTAGCGCCAGGGACCCGGGTTTGATTCCACCCTCGGGTGACTGTCTGTGTGGAGTTTGCACATTCTCCCCATGTCTGTGTGTGTTTCCTCCGGGTGCTCTGGTTCGACAAAGATGTGCAGGTTAGGTGGATTGGCCATGCTAAATTGCCCATAATGTCCAGGGATGTGAAGGTTAGATGGATTAGCCATAGGAAATGTAGGGTTACAGGGATAGGGTGGGGGGTGGCGGGTCTGGGTGGAATGTTCTTCGTAAGGTTGGTGTAGACTTGATGGGCCAAATGGCCTGCTTCCACACTGTAGGGATTCTATGATTTACTTGATACAGATATTCATCGTGACAACTGTAATGACCAGTAGAGGAATCCTAAATTGATGTTTAAAAAAAACTATACTCTTCTGTCTAAATGTTCTTAAAACCCTGAAAGTCTTAAATGACTGGTATCAAACTCAAAATGATTAATATGACTGCTTCCAGAGCCTTTCAGCAATTGTCAGAGGAAATAAAGTTTAAATCATCTGACTGGGTTGTGACACTCCTTACATTGTGTGAACACTCTAGCCAAGTCAATACGAAGGATTAGTCGATAAGATATCTAGCATAGCCAGTACTGAACATAGGAGACCATTTAAAGTCATGACTCAGTAATAATCACTCTACAGTTAGCTCCTCCAAAATAGAATAGGTTTTGGCCAGGACGTCAAAATCCATCTCATTAGCTGAGTGACTAAACCTGAAGCCCAGTCACATGACTGAACCTATTGGCTTGTTTGAAATCACCTGACATTATACAGTTTTTGATTTTTTCATTAGTCTGCCTGTAATCTGTACTATACCTAGAAAGTGAACCGATTCAGAGCTTACAACTACTGTACCTCCATCAACAATTCAATTGTATCTAACCTCCTGTGAAAGGGATTTCTGTACACAGCCCACTGAGGGAACCTCAACTGGACACTGATGCTCTGTTCTGTTTAATTCATGTGAGTTAATTCCAAATGGTTTTAAGTAATTTGAAACTTCCCTCTTTTCTTTCTTGGATATATGTGTGTGATTACAGTTTCCGAAGCAGTCTACCTTGCTTTGAATAAACCCTATGTTACTTTAGCCTGACTGAATTTTCTGTGGGTAATCTTAAAGTTGGACTTCGCAAAAGAGTTTGGAGAAGGACATCACCAGCTATGTTTAAGGGGGAGAAAGAGAACCCATGTAATGGACATGACAGAAGGACAGTAAAAATAATTCAATTCACCTCTCTCTCTTTCTATGATACAACCATTCTCCCATAACTGTTTGACCCATGTGTAATCACCAGACTCCACCATGCACATTAAATAGATAAACTCTATGTTATTGTGAACTCAGCACCATCCTCCTCTGCATTCTAATCATAACTATATGGTTCCAGAGTCAATTCTACTCCATTCATAGTCCAACACCACAGGATGGGCAGTGCTCATGTGTCCTTTGTACAAAGCAAGTGTACCTCCTGTTGAAGGTTGGTAGTACTCACTGATGTTCAATCTGGAAGTTGAGGTGGCCTGTGAACCAGTCATTGAAGAAAGACTGATGGACGTTACAAGTGGCATGTAACTATAAGAAAACAAACCAGTTAGTGCTGTATTACTGTTACAAATATCGTAAATTATGGGACTCAGATCCCAAATACAGCAAACTTGCATCTAATGTGGTGAGCCCCTTCAGTAGTGGCATACCTACGCTGGTATATTAATAATTCTTATTTCACCAGCTGTATGGATTAATTCATGTTGGTAAGAAAACAACAAAGAGCTATCTGCAGGGCCAGGCCATTTGTCTGTGGCAAGAGGGTTCAAAACTAATTCGGGATAATGAAATGGAAGTCTCTTGTCTGTTAGGTACCAAGGAAATAAATAAAATAAAACAAAACAAAAAACTGTGGATGCTGGAGATCAGAAACAGAAACAGAAATTACTAGGGGAAACTCAGCAGGTCTGGCAGCACCTGTGGGAAGTAAGCAGAGTTAACATTTAGAGTCCAGTGATTCTTCGTCAGAATCAAGGAAATAACTATGGACCAGGGATAATCAGAGTTGTTATGGATATGACCACAGGACATATTGTACTTAGTACCATGTGGACTGGAGTCATATTTAGGTTAGATTGATTACAGATGACAAGTTCTATTTATGAAAACTCAGCAGCTTTTATGGTCAGCTTTTCAGGGAGAGTTCACAAATGACCAAATAACTGATATCACTGATTCAACCAAATTCCTCATATCCCACTGTACATGCATTCTCACTCAGCAATGTCCAACATGCAGCCTCCAAACTGAGACAGCTCTCAAATCCCAGGAAACCTAGTACAATTTGTGATTCAAGTTTGGACAAGGCTGATTTTAGTGCAATTGTCACACAAATGTAAGTCCTATGCCAGAACATCACCAAAACGCCAAAGTTTGCTTGTATCAGCAACTTCAGGTACATAGACATCAATGGAATCTTGGATTTCTCTGTCACATGGACTCCATGGTACATATTTTACGGCATCTGATCCATAAGGACAAAAGCTGAGGCACACAGTTGTATGCAAAAACAACCTCCAATGCTTATTTTATATTAATTCCTCAGATGAGCTCAGGACTAGATCCCCTTGCGAAGGTGATGGTGAGCTGCTTTCTTAAATCGCTGCAGTCCATTTGGTGTAGGCAGACCCACAATTTGGTTAGTGAGGGAATTCCAGGATTTTGATCCAGTGACACTGAAGGAATGGTGATATATTTACAAGTCAGGATGGTGAGTGGCTTGGGTGGAGGTTGGGGGGTGGGGGATGGGGCATGGGGGTGGTGGGAGGGTGGACTTGTAGATGTGGTTGCTCCATTTATCTTCTGCCCTTGTCCTTCTAGATGTTCATGGTCATGATATTTCAAGGTGCAATCTAAGCAGCCTTGATGAATTTCTGCAGTACATCTTGTAGATGGTACACACTACTAGTACTGAGCTTCGGTGGTGGAAGGAGTGGATACTTGTGGATGTAATGCCAATCAAGCAGGCTGCTTTGTTCTAGGTGGTGTCAAGCTTTTAGAGTGCTGTTGGAGTTGCACCCAACCAGGCAAGCAGAGAGTATTCCCTCACACTCCTGACTGTAGGTGGTGGACAGGCTTTTCCAAGACTGTGGAACTCTTCACCTTTCTCAGCCATTCCTTTCCACCACAATCTCTAAGTTCTTAAATTCAAAACTAGATTTCTGACATACCACGTCATCGGTTTCATCATTTGGTGTGATCAACATTTGGGGCTTTTACATCAATGTGCAAAGTGCATGAAGAGGTGTTGAACAGACAGGAGTACCCAACTTAGGCCAGTGTCCCAGTGACAGTTAGGTTCTTACCTGCATGGTCAGCCAGTCTTCCTTCTGATCATGGTCAATTATCATAGGAATGTGATTCATCTGAGTCACCCACACAAACCAATTACTTTCCATAAACCTGCAAACAGCAACCATGAAATTAATGATCTGACTGAAGGAATATGCTCCAACAAAATACGAATTGAATAAAATCTCTAATTTGGCAAATAAACACAGACCCCATTGGTACAGCAACCTTCTACTGATGCTGTCACTAAGTACAAAACCAATAAGAGGCTTTCAGCTCCTGCTTTAGGTGTGTCTGACCAGACTAAGATTTGTTTTCTGCCAACACTTACATGAGCTTCTTTAGCCAAACCAGGTACAACGTGTTGAGATGGTACTCCATATAAGAAAACTTTAACTGGAAATGATGTAATGTTAGGTGTTGGAGTTGTCAGGTGTTGGGCTGTGACTATTTATTTTGACAGTTTCTTCCAGCATGGATTGTCCATGGGGGCAAAAAAATGATCGCAAGACACTGCCTTGAAAACAAATGGTTTTTGTAGTTTGTGCGGATGACCATCTTGAGTTCTGTCATTGCCAGAAGGTGCTGGGTTTCTGTCAATTTCTGCCAGTACATTTCATTTCTTTTATATAGAACACGGTCAGTCTATGTCTCCCTCCTTTTGTTGTAGTAATTCCTATGCCATATCGAAGCAGATCAAGGAGTAACAATTAAATAGTCAGTTAGGTTGGTTGGTTGTTTTTGACCAGCTGGGAAGTGATGGGCCGAAGGGCCTCTTTGACTCTATGATTCATCCATCTTTTGTTCTTACTTATTGACCCCTTTAACTAATAAAATTCTAACAACATCAATCTTGAAAGCTCTATTTGGTTCAACACCTTGCTTAGGAAGAGAGTTCAAGATATCCTCTCTAAGTGAAAAAATGCTTCCTGATATCACTCCCAAATGATCTCAATCGACTTTCAAGGTTATTGTACCTTGTTCTACATTCCTCTACCAGAGGCAGTAGTCTCTTTGTGCAGAATTTAGCATTCCCACCTATGGCAGCTTAATGCTTGGAAGAGGACATTGAATCAGGCAGGAAGGTAGCAGGTGGGGATCCTGTTATTCTCCTGGCTCCACTCAGAATGAGTCAGTGGCGGGAAGGCCTGTGCATGACCTTGTCAACATGCAGCATTGGTTTCAGTTTTGTGGCTGAGAAAGGAAGGGTGTATCTAACTCTGCACTGGGGTTAAACTGGTTTGTGATTTTGAGCCTGACTGGTCTGTAAATCATTTCTCCACTGGAGGATTTTTATCTCTTGGAGATCCTTCACAGAAGATGTCATCCTATTAAGCCTGTTACTCGGCCCATTTCTCTATCTGGAGGAATCTTAGTCTCCTGAATTTTTTTGCAGAGGAACGCAGATATTCGCCTATCACCTGGGGGAATTTCACTCTCACGAATGTCAATTACGGAAAAACGCTGCTCCCTGGAGACAAGTAATTTATTTTCTCCCAGCATCCTGGATTTCTAAGCGAGGCAATTTCTTTTTAACCATATCCTGAACCTATGGACATTGGATTGGCTTCCATGGAGTTGTATACAGCTCATCTTCATTTTCTGAAACGATATCTTCATTCTCAATCTGCTAATACATCTGTATTGAGGTATGCAAGAGCTTTACTTCAACTTATGGAGGGCATTGGACATCTTCATTCATCCTCTGTAGATGTCTTCCCAGACATTTTCCCAACATCGGTGAGTTATTGGAGGATTGTTGCTTACTTATCATCGTCTCTGTCACTGGGATTGACACTTCATCTTTGAAAGACTGAAATGTTACTCTTGAACTTGTGTCCATTGTACTGTCCTGCTGTCAAAACAACTTCAGTGAAAGATTCATTAGTGAGCTCAAGTGGGCTATACTGTCCTTATTTTGGTTCCCCTTATGTGCATCCTCTCTCAAACTTTGCTGGTTTCTGTCATCTGAATTTTGATTAGTGATGATAACTATGTTTTGTTCATCTCCTGTTAGATTCTATATTCTTTATCTCTTAAATTACAATTTTGTCACGTTAAATCTGCTCTATGACATTCCTTGTGTTGCAGCATCAGTATAAATTAAATCCTTGGCCCTCAACTTCAATATTGTAGCTGTGCCTTATGCTCTGTGCTCACTACGGCAGCGACACTCATTGTGAATTATAAGTATTTGTTTTCTTGACTTCTATCTTTCCCAACCTAGTTCATTATTGTCGATTTAAAGATATTCCCCCTTCCCTAACAGAGATTTTTAACTTTACTCACTGAGCTCCAAAACAGTCACTTCCCAGCTGAACCTTGAATCCAGGCTACCCTACAGATTCTTCTTCTCTAAGGACTCTGTATCAGTCAAATGTGGATAACTGTTAAACTCTTCCTAGATCTCATTGCACTTTTTGCCAGGTCTGAAGTAAAGGTTTTAGGCTGAAAAGCTTGTCATTCCTATCACAAGTTCTGATGACTGCCTGTTTGTTCAAGCACATGTAACTGCTGACTGCCTGTCTTGGCATTCTTGAAGGGTTAAAGCATCTAAAACAGTGAAATCACTCGTCATTGAATAAATGCTTTCCTTAGATTATTCCCATGGTTATTACTTGGCATTTGAGCAATAAGGCCCAGTGTTCATCACAACCACAACCAGCTGAGTGGAGTGCTGCTCCAATCCTCCTTTCTATACGTTTTTAATCAATCTGTTTTGACATTTCATGGTACATCTCCCAGGCAACTGAAATTTGAACCTTCTGGCCGAGGTAAGAACATAACACTACCACTGTGCCACAAAATTCATTAGCAGTTAATGCATGCAATGTGAATTTAGTTGAATGCAATTGCTATATAATTAACATCCTAAACCTGCAACCTCCATTGCTTGGAAGAGCAAGGGCAGCATGGGGATACCACTGCTTCCAATTTTCCCTCTAAATCATACACCATCATCTTACCTTATTATTAAGATGATGGGACTCAGTGAATGATGCAAAGTGACTGCTGAGTTGTCACTGTTCTGAATGATTACTAATATACGCTTTTCCAAATATTATCTTGAAGTGTTTTCTTCTTGGAAAGTTGCTCGGTTGAGGGTGACAAAATAGGTTCTGGCCTGTGAAGCTGCCAGGACACATTATCCACTCCATTGAAGTTGATTTTGCAAGAAGTTTGTGTGAATTTCTTGTGCAACTGGCTTCAAGAAGGACCACATATGTAGATCATCACTGCAAACTTATTTTCACCTTTGTAGCACTGCCCAATTCCACCCCTCCAACAGCTCATCCGCTGAAACCATCTTTAACACGTTGTTCCGTTTAGACTTGACTATTCCATGGAAATTTTGACAATCATCCTATCTTGCATGGTCCATGGACTAAGCTAATAAATAAGTCTGCTGCCTATGTCCTAAATCCCAATTCAGCCATCACCTGTGCTTTCTGACTTCAATTGGCTCCGATTCAGAAGCACATGAATTGAAAAATTCTCATCCTTATTCTCAAATCTTTCCATGATTTTCATTCCCCAGTATCTGTAGCCTCCTCCAGATGTATAACCCTCCAAGATCTCTGGGCTCCTCTTATTCTTGTCTGTTGGCCATCCACAATTGCAATTGTTCTACCATTGGTGACTTCGCATTTAGGTTCCAAGGCGATAAGCTCTGGAACTTCCTCCCTAAACCTCTTTGCTGTTGTACATCTTCTTTCTCTTTTAAGGTGCCCCTTAACATCTACCTCATGACCAAGTTTAGTTGAAAGCCATTACAGGACAGGGAATGAGAAAGAGCAGAAAAACATGCAGTGAGACAGGAACAAATCGATGTCCTGTGCATCTAACAGCATTGAATAAACAAATGTACAAATCAATGACACAGCTTCAGCGAGTAGAAGTGTTGAATAAAGTGATCAAGATAAATCTGTAAATAGTCTGTCTGAGTACAAGAATAAATTTTCATTTATTAGAGACTGTTAATGTCGGGAGCTAGAAGGGGTGCCAAACAAGCAGCGAGGTAGAAATAGTTAGTGGCAGTGAATGAGGAACGAACGCACAGGCAGAGAAAATGGCAAGAGAGAAAACAAAGATAATGATCAAGAAAGTAAAAGACAGGTGGAAAAAAAGAGAAGAGAAACAAAATAAACAAACAAGATAAACAAGAGGTTAATACTGCCCAAACCTATTCAAACGTATTAAATCAAACAGGGAGCAAAAAGACCATTCAGCACAACTAGTTCCCTATAGCTACAGTTATGCCAGGCATTTAATGGATGGTTAAAGTACTGCAGGCACACAGCATCAATTACTGCAATTGTTCAACAGACAAACACATAATACAGTTAGCATTTTGATTGGGAGCCCCACCTCACTAGAAAGAACATTAACAGAAAACCTTGAATGCCAAGCAGTGGGATGTAAGTCAGGCTGATACGAATGTAGAAAGACACCATCCAGGCCAAGTCCTATAAAAGGCAAGAAAAACATCACTATATTAATTAACCATTCCTTTCCTTTCCAGTTTTGTTAGTCCTCTCCTGAGAGTAGTAACTAGTCTCAGGGTTCAGGTCCTTCTATCACTTCACCCCACTGACTCGTCTCCATTTGTGAGCTGAGACAGAGGATATTAACAGGCTTTTGATAAACTGGAATGGGGGATGACAATGAAATCGTAGCTAACCCTATGCTCAACAATCCTGTACCCAATCAGCAGCCACAGCATCGCATCGACTCCAGCCAACTCCTATTGAACATCAACAGTCTACAAATGAATCACATGGAAATTTCAAACTAGAAGTTAAATTGTGAAAATACTCAGCAATACAGTTTACAGATTTTGTTCCAGATGTAGGTTATGTCAGCAGATCTGTTTAATGCCAGCAATAGGTAGAATGGCCACTGGTTACAGGTTTGTTGCTAGTAATGGGAATAATTTGAATTAAAAGAATCCCACAAGAAAGAAACAGGTACAATATTACAATGATGGATTCTTCTTATAATGCATTAATGCTTATATATTAGACAATCTTGAAATTAGTAGTAGTTAAGATGGATAGCTTCTGATTAATCATTTTCCATTGTAGAACTCTTTCAGGAGCAACTGGGCTGTTCACTACACCAGTGACTGGATGGGGGAAGGGTTCCTATTGTGTTTGAGCAGAACTCATGAGGAGCCAGCCCGACAGACCATGATGTGCACTGTCTGCATCAAATGAACAATGATGTACTCAGCACTGTTTGAATGGAGACAGATCAGGGAGTTTGCTGACTTATTTAGGTCTGTCTGTGAGCCTGTGTGAGAATTTGCGCTGAGGTTT